GAGAGAGAGAGAGAGAGAGAGAGAGAGAGAGAGAGAGAGAGAGAGAGAGAGAGAGAGAGAGAGAGAGAGAGAGAGAGAGAGAGAGAGAGAGATTTCAACCCTTTCCGGATGCTTACATGGAGACTATGTTTCTCTACATGGATGAATGGGATGGTACTTGCAGGTAGAGGGACTAATGCGCCTGATGGAGGGGGAACATATTGGGCCAGTCAATCTGGGCAACCCAGGGGAGTTCACTATGCTCGAACTGTCTGAGGTGAGTCGTCTGTAGAATTTTAATGCTGGCCAGGAAAGTAACATAATGGTCTCTGCAATTTGTTGCTTGTCTGTCCTCTGCATGTCTAGAAAGCCACGTCTCTGCTGTCCTCATTGTTGGTGCATGACACTTGCATCGTGGTTATACTGAATTTTATGGGCCCCATCTGCGGGGTTTGTTTCTACTTCAAGTCAGTCAGATCTTCGGGTGCTATACGAGACACTGGGAAGTTTGGTATTTGAACGGTGTGCACACAACGCCAATGTTGTCTATGTGCACCCGTACTCAGACCTGAAATCATCCATTGTTGGTGCTATTCGTTGGAAAAAGAGAGCGAATAATGCATAAGGAGCCCAGTTGTGACATCCATGAACTGTCGAAATATGAATCAAACCCAAGTTCGAATCCAGATGCAGTCAGATTAACAAATTAACGTACTTCTGAAATACCCAGGGCCGGTCAGTTCGCTGATGACGACTCAAAATGCTGTTGCCCTTTTCGAAAGGAGCCCAGTGACAGTGATGCCTGTCTGCAGACTACAGTGCTTGCTTGCCGTGTCTTCTAATTTCGTAGTCCTTGCAACACCACAGCGCTTGACGTGTCTGGTGGTTCGAGTTCTCGAATCTTCTGCTCGGCTGCAGATTACAGAGTTTGTGATGTCTGCGGCCGATAGCCTAGCCCAGTGGGTACAACCATGAACTGTTGAAATACAGACCCGGGTTTGAATCCAATCCAGATGATGGAACTTGAGGAGTAAAATCAAATATTAGAAAGAAAAAAAAGAGTGCCATCTCTGCTGATTGTGGTCGGTGATTGAATATCCTGGACACATCCGAGTCTTCAGGTTGTCGGGTCTGGAGCCTGGTGGTCCCCACAACAGTTATGGTGAGGGTAACCAAGGGTCAGAACTCTTCTCGGATTCGGCCTGAAGGGAGTGTGGACAGATGTTGCCGCAGGAATGAAGAGGGGAGAGGACAGAGGAGGATCGCGACAGATGTGGAGATGAAGCAGTCACTGGTCTTGCAGCGTGACCAGATGAGAGGACATGCGGTTAACTGGTTGTCTGACGTGTATCAAGAGGTGCGGGGGAGCTTATATATTCCATTCTGAAATGGCCTCTCTGAAATGTGATGTCAAGGTTGGGAGTCCATATATCTGTTTCCGCAGATGGAGCAGTCACTGGTCTTGCAGCGTACAAATCGAGCGAGAAGGGGGTTTTGCTGGTTTGATCTTTGCTGCATGACGTGGGACATGAATTGCCGATACTGAAGTCTGACATGGTTATGCTTACCCTTGGCCCGTTGATTCGTTCATTCGAAGTCCGACCTTGGTCTTTATTGAATACGGCAGATGAAGAACTTGGTCGCTGTCCGCGCAGGATATGAATGAAGAATGAACTTTGCAGTTTTTTTGATGTCGTGTTCTGCACTTTCGACTCGTATGACCGCGCTTTCGGTGTTTTGCATGGTGAACCCCGGTTAACCACTGGTTGATATGACGTGGGGCATGAATTGCCGATACTGAAGTCTGACATGGTTATGCTTACCCTTGGCCCATTGATTCATTCATTTGAAGTCCGACCTTGGTCTTTATTGAATACGGGAGATGAAGAACTTGGTCGCTGTCCGCGCAGCATATGAATGAAGAATGAACTTTGCAGTTTTTTTTATGTCACGTTCTGCACTTTTGACTCGTATGACCGCGCTCTCGGTCTTTTGCATGGTTAACCCCGGTTAACCACTGGTTGATGTGATGGGTCTCGTATGGCGGGTGGTATGTCTGTCATCAGGTTGTGAAGTCTGTGGTCGATAAGGATGCAAGGATTGTGTTCAAGGAAAACACAGCAGACGACCCTCACAAGAGAAAGCCGGACATCACAAAGGCGAAACAGCTGCTGGGATGGGAGCCCAAGATTCCGCTGAGGGAAGGTCTGCCGAGGATGGTGGAAGATTTCAGGATGCGTCTTGGCGTGGAGAAGCCCATTGACAACAGCGCGGATGCCGAGCACGTATAAATAAGAAATGAAGGAGAGGCTTTCCGTGTATACACGAGCGAAAGTTTTTTTGGTCGCGTTAGGGAGTCCGAGTGGACGCCTGTTCGTGAACATCTCAACTTCAACTTGTGAGTGGTTTCTATAAATTTGCAAGCCCCGCATAGATAGATGTGAACGATGTGTGTTTGTGTTTTCATTTTGGTCCTATTCTTTTCCTTATACGCCGCATATCTCCTCCTTGAACGAAGCTACCTTTGCGGATCTGCCCTCCTTGTGGTCCCGTGCACGACGCTTCAAAATCATATAAGATCAAGCACGTCACAGAACCTGGTGGCAGGCTGTGAACGTACGACGTACGTTGTTGTAGTAGTCCTTCAGAGCTTTGTGCTCGTCAATTGTTACGATTTCCATGATTGCCGCCGTCATCTTTCCTTTCCTATCATGTGGCGCCCACATTGACGTCGTCTTTCCAATTTTATATGAGTGTTAATAAATGGCTGTACACATCGGAAATGTGCCTGAAAAAGTTGGAGACTGGCAATGAGGGCTGTCAATCTGTCTCCATGAAGAGCTGTAGGATGGGGTAGTGCTATGCTCTTCATCTTCTACTCGATTCTGTTCTTTCGCGGCCTGCATTTCTGTTCTTTCCCGGTCTTCTTTTCAGAGTAGATGATTAGGTCGCTGATGTTGAAATGATAGGCTCCAGTGTACTTGACAAAACTCGGAGGAGGTTATGGGACGAGCGCCGGGGGCGGGCGCGAAGTTCCCTCGACTGTGTTAGGGGATGGAGACAGCGAAGTGAGGGTGGCCAGGCAGGTTAAGTCTGAGCGAAGAAAACTTATCTCCATGCGCATAGTGCATGCACATGTTTAGCGTCAAGGCGGAGAGAGGAATGAAGTGCGTGTAAGCAGGCAGCTTATGGAAGAGCTCCTCATGCTGCAGAGAGAATCCGTTTAGTGTGGAGGCGAGTGCACTGCAATGCGCTGCGGACACGCTGGGTAGGGATTAGTACTATGCACTTAAACACAACACAGAAGAATGGTTCTCGCTATCTCCATCACGACTGTGAGAAAGTGTTTTTTTTTCTTTTCTTTTCTTTTCTTTTCTTTTCTGTGCTGCTTTGGTGCAAGCAAACACACATCCCGTTTGGGCCAATCCTGCGTTGTTTGAGAGCGGTCGTAGCGTGGTGGGCCTCGTCGTTTCGGATGCAATCTCAGTAGTTTGTGTGGCCATTGAATGGCATTGTAGGACTGGAGATTGTGACGCTACGGTTGTCCGTTCGACAAGAGGTTTCTCTTCTCTAAGAAATTGAATAAAGGGTGATGTTGGGGGGATAAAATCCGGGACCCGGTGGTGGTGGGCTTCCAGATAATCTGGGACATGCTGGGCCTTCCTTGTAATCTGGGACACATTGGGGTTGCAGATAATCTTGACCATGGTAGGCTTCCAGAAAATGATGTGGGCCATTGTGGGCCTCCAGAAAATCTGGGTCATGGTGGGGGGTTACGGATTCTGCAGTGCTTTGCGCTCGTGGAATTGTGCAGATGGATGACATGAAGTCTTTCTGAAGGGTTTGGGTTTGAGCTGCCAATGGGCATGCGGGTGCTAGGACCGCATGAGTCCGATGGTGAGGGACCTCCATTCTCCAATGCTTCTGTAGATTCAGAGAACCTTGGCGGCAACATAAGAGAGATGACATGGCTGTGCGTTGTGAAATCGGTCGGTGGCACACTGCTCTGAGAGCTTATGGAGGAGGCATGTCCTTTGCCTGAGGCCGCAGACCCTGGTGTCGGAGCACGCGCAGACTAGATGCGAGGCTGGTGCTGACATCCCATGTCATGAAATCTGCAAAGCGTTTTGCTCTCGGGATTGGGAGGATGGATTTGGAAATTTGTCCAGGTGCTAGTTGTCATAGCAGAGGCTAATGGTAGCAAGTGAACTGAGTTCAGCACTAAGGGATTTTTTCCCTTAAACTTGCTTGGTTGGAACCCATAGAGTAAAGGATTACCGGTTTGAGAGAGAGTCGGCGACATTGGTGGTGATTACATCGATTAGAACCGGTTTCGCCTTGTCGATGAAGGTGAAAGGCGGGATGACATGTTCCGTCGTAGCTTGAATGCGCCTCCTTGTGGTGCCCAAGAGAGCAAACAGACGGCCCTCCAATTTTCAATGTGGAAGTCGTCCGATGCCGTTGGTTTCTGGTGGCTTCAGATGCCGGAATGTGGAACGTATCGGGCAACAAGTACAGTTGTCATGCAGGCCTTGGTCGATAAGCAGCAGCAGAAGCAGAAGCAGAAGCAGAAGCAAAATAGCTCGCACAGTTGTCGTACAGGTCTTGGTTGATGATGAGCTGCAGGAGAGGCAAAATAAGTCCCACTGATTTGTACGTCGGTGTCGGTAAACGAGCGAGTGTTACAGAAATGGATGAAATCCAATCTGAAGAGTGGGCCTCGCGCAGTTGGTCCACGCATGAACTGTTGAAATGCAGACCACAGTTCAAATCCAAATGAACTCAGATGAGTCAGATGAGTAAATAACTCCGAATTTAGCTGGGGCTGTTGAGTTGGAATACCCTTTTAGAGAAGGGAAGAGTCTCTACGTTTGGTCGCACAGGTAGGACTTGGTGGTTTCGGACAATGCCAGAGTCATGCATGTATCTTCCCGAAAATGGTGTTGTCGTACAGGCCTTGCCTTGATTGATAAAAAGTGAAGTAGAAGTAGGTCTCACTGAGTTGTATCAGTGTTGACAATGAGTGAGTGACAATGATATAAAATGGATGAAATCCACTCCTTCGAATTCTTTCTGGTTCTGAAGGTTCTTTATGTTGGATTGCGCAGCCAGACTCCTCTCTCTCTCTCTCTCTCTCTCTCTCTCTCTCTCTCTCTCTCTCTACACATCTAGATGTGTATAAGAGACAGACGCAGTATGCCACAAGCAATGTTGGCACTTCTA